CATAGCATGCGAATTGGATTGAGTAATTCAGGAACTGCATAAAGGGCAAGTCGAGTGTTGCAAAAGAGATAGAAAAAAATCTTAAACGTTGTACTTTGGGTTTGCTATAAACGGTATATAGTCAAATGTTTGTATCATAGCTTGCATACAGTAATGGTGAAAAAATTTTGTTCCAAGACAGTTATCTAACATTGATCTTATCTTGAAATGATGACAAGTCTTGAAGCCGTGAAGGGATGAATCCTCACTGCTGCAGCCGAGCAACTATGTGGGATATAAAAATACTATTATTGGGAACGTTGATTAGCATTGATAACAAATGCCAATAAGCATGATTCGGCTAATATTCTTATGAACAGTGAGGGCTAATTTTCTTCCACAGATCATTGAGCTTCCTTTAGACTAAATTCCTTGTAAAGGACCCCCATACACATACATCAGCGTTTTCTCTCGCCGTTATGTGCTTTGGGTTCTTTTGCTCGGTCATGCACGAATACAATCCTTTGGGCAAGAGATATCAATCATTCCTTGATGGATTGTGCCTCGAACTTAGGCGAGAATTTTCATTAGTCTTCGGCTGATTTTATCTGCGGAACACCTATGAATGGGCAACCTCTGGACCATAATATTCACTAGACACCTTCAATGGACGAAATAAAATGCATATTAACTGATATGATGGAGAGACCAGTATCGAAAACATGCCTGGTAAAATAAATGGTTAAATTATTTTTTGCCTCAACATCATATCAGCCTATATTTGCCATGAGCGATATTTAAAGGAATAAAAAAATTGTAACGGTTGGAATATCAGTTCTCCATACCGTTTAGTGAGTGGGCCATTCTAGCTACCCTTTTTTCAAGAAATCAATTACAGGGCGCTGATAAGTCAGCCAGGAAGTCATGCCTTATTCCAAAGGCAGTTATATGACAGGCAAAGTGTAGATCTGCTGTTTTTTTTCAGCTTAGTAATAATTTATCAACTTCCGAAGAAAGAAAAACGAGTAACCTTCACTGAGACTCGAATCCTGGTTCTCTCGGTTTCGGGTTCGACATTCTACCGCCTGAGCAGCCCCGTTCTGTAGCAACGTGTGTTAAATCCCTTGCTCTTTTCTTTCGTCTGTATTTTACAGAGGGTTTATCTTACTTGCAGCATATATCTAGGTACAGTTTAACTCTAGTTAAATCACAGGACATTATGAGTGCCTGAGAGTTAATAATGCCCTACTGTCGTAGCATTCAGGCTTCACGAATGAAATTTATTTGTCTTATTACATTGCTCATCGGTATCATCACTCTCTTCATGACAGGAATCTCCATCGTCAGTTCCAAGGGTAGAAGACAAGATAAAAATGCGTCATCCCGTATTCACTATCAATGATGATCCTTTCAACTGACCTTGTGCCAAAGATGCTATGCGTTTCGAGTTGGCAAAGTTATGTTAAAGGCAGAAGAGAAATGCCTTCACCTGAAGTGTGGCATTTTGCTAGCGGACCATTCAAGATTCATTGGCGTGTCTCCAGAGAAACCCATTAATCGCAACTTCAGTTGCCTGTAGTCTCTTAATTTGGTCAGTGGGATGTGTTGGGGGAATAGGGGGAGGAGGTGAGCAAATGACATCTTTTCCCTCAAACACCTTTGTTTCATTAGAAGTAAAATGTTACGGCAAGCCTTTAGTATACCAAGAGCTCTAAATTCATAAAACGGTGGCATATATTCATACCATGAATTTGGTTTATCTCAACTTCGCAAATAAACCTATTCAATGATGCAGGATGTATGAAGAGTTGGGCAATTCCAGTTTAGCAACGAAAACGTCTGACCAGCTTTCTCTGTTTTACTTTACCGCGAGTTTCCCTGACTTGCGTTCAAATCAAAGAACATGATTCACCTCTACCTCTATTAATAAAGATATTGTCCACACCTGTATCGAGTGATGGTATTTTGCACTTTCCCAAATTTTGTTCTCTTCAGTAGATCATTCTCGGTACGAAAGTCTTCAAAGAGGGCAGCGGCACCATGGTTAACAGAGATTTAACTGAAAAGCTGACTAGAACTGTTTCAGAGGACTTCACCGACATTTAGGAGTACCAGGAAACGAACTGACAAAGATTTGTCAAGATAAGCGTTACTGTTTTCTGTCTTTTTGTGTCATCGCCATCGAAGAGTAATACAGACTGAAGAGCAGCGCAGCTCATTGTGTCCATTAGAGACGGCATTTCAAATTAATGAGGCAACTCTCACTGCTACTGCAAAAGTCATATTCCTTGTTGCAAGCCTAGTCATCTACACGAGGCAGCTCCAAATCTTGCTGGCGACCTAATGAATGACCGAGTGAAATGAACGTTAGCTTCTCACCTACATATGGATCTGTAAATTTATTTCTGATCGCGCCAAATGATATCTTGAAATTAATGAAATGACATCCTGATTTGCATGATTGCACTGTCACATGTCTGAACCTCAGAAGGGCTGAAACCGATGAATTCAAGGACTGCAAAAATAAAGTTTCATAAACGAAACCATAATAATAAATATGAAGACGGACATACCAGCATAAAATTAATTTAACTCATAAAAACGATACACAGCGAAGCGTTCGAAAAAACCTGAACTTTGCTATTCAAATACAAAACGGCTACTGTCATCGAAACGTAACAACAGTGAAAATACTTTAGGGTATCATCAACGAGTATGTGACCTGACAGTTAGAGTGCAGAAGATATTAGATCGATGGAATAATCTCTGGTCGAATGGGCTACACAAGTAGCTGAGAACGATCGGCTATTTGCTTGAGGTGCACCAGGCAGCTCTGCAACGTCTCCCTCTCACGTTCGGGCGTGATGCTTTTCTTCACCTCGTTGACCACCCAGTCGATGAGGTTGCGGCGCTGGAACTCCCTTCTGACGCCGACAATGTCGACCATATAGTCGAGGCGCTTTTTCACCTCTTTGTGCGCCGCCACCAAACGCTTGCGGTATTCGACCTCAAGTTGGAGAGCGACGTTTTCGCGCTTCGCTTCGTAGACCATCGGCACGACCGTCGAGTAGCACTTGATCTTTTGGCCGCTGGTCGCCACACTGTTCTTCATCAGGTTCAGGTGCTGGTTGACCCGGTCATCGCGGTACTTCTCCAAATCCTGTACGTCGTACTCGGCCCACCGGGCGAAATAGGTACCAAACTTGCGACCCAAGTAAACGAACAGCGCAAGCCGGCTCAGGAACACGATCATTTCATGCTGCGCGCCGAGCAGCTCCTTTTGTATGATGAATAAAGACAAACCGCCGACAAGCAGGTAAGGTCCGGTGACGCCAGTGAACTGGTAGAATGCCTGGAACCACGTGTCCGGGAAGATCAACAGACGTGCTTTAGGCGGGTACATCGGTCGCACTGGGTGCGGAAAATT